TCATCCGTGCCAAGGGCGGCTATATTTAAAACTATTAAGTGATTCTAAATCAGTTAACTGTCCTTGTTATTTTGTATTTAAAAAATTTCCTGATTTTTAAATTTTTGCTGAGGTTATTGGCATATTGCAGTGGGACACAACTTTCTTAACATCCTGTAACAGAACAACCGATTCCGACGATAAGAGGAATTGGAATTTGTCGAGAGATGAAAGAAAGTCTTCCACACGTACTTTTCACAGATTTAACACGGCGTGAGTCACAGGTGACTCATGGGATACATTTCTAAGAAAATATTCTCTCTCTCCATAGTCCTCCTACAGACATGCCCACAAGACTGCTCTTTGCTGTCTTATGGCTCAGTGATTCTATCTTTCCTCACACAGCCTGTTGAGCTATTCATGAACGATATAGACTGGCAAATACATAATATGGGTCACAGGGATATATCTTCCTCCAAAACCAGTTCTTGGCTTAGAGAATGTGTATACTAGTATATCCTGCGTAGTGTATAGACGCATGATCCAATGAGAATCGACCACCCTTCACTATCTACGACTTACAGGAAGTGAATAGATGCGCGCAAGAGCGCGTGTAAAAAGTGCCAGATCCGATGACAGTGCATTAGAAAGAGGGCATGAGAAGACCTCTACTACTGTTCTTGGCAGGACGGTGACATGTGAAGAACCCACATGCGCCAAAAGATCGATCGAGCACCGGATTCTCAGAAGAGGCGGAGAAGTGCACACGGTGGTACCACGTGCCGGCTATGTACTGACTTGTGCTTTTTCATCCTCATTTTGTGAGGGCTTACAGGAGTACGTGTGACGTGAGAGAGGAAGAGAAATAGAGAAAACAGTGACGATGGTGCAAGGAGGGTGGATTTTGGGTTCCTGGCTTCACGCTTTCATCGAATTCCAGACTCTACTCCTCTCCGTCGATTATTCCCTTCTCCCGTCTCGTGAGTACATTCCTGTCTTGCTTCGTGGAGTTCCGCTCCATCAGCGTACTTCGCGTGTCTCTTACGTCAGGCACTGTCGCTCCGAGAAGCTACAGGGTCATAAATAAATGTTAGATATAGTGAATTCAAAAGTAGAACATGAGATCATCGACCGTAAAAGTACGATCGTTGCATTCGGATTTCTTCCGCGTCTATGCTTCTCCCTTTTCCCCTGTGACATTCATGCACGCTTTCTTTTCGTATGTATTCCAGTCGGCACAGTCCCAATCCAAATACGTGTTATGTAAGATGGTTTCTAGACGCCTACTATTTTCCATTTCGTAACATCAAGACTACAGGTGCAGCATTTGTGAATCAGTTTGCGCATCACTCTGTGATGAGTGCACTATCACTATTTCATTCTCGATCTGGCATAAGAAACAAGTCATACATGCACTAATCGGCTACCTTAAATGTCGACTTCCGCCCATTCAATTGGTTATATGCCCCGTACAGGGTGTCCCAAAAATACCGAGTAAACTTTACTATAACATTTACTTATACACAACACATACATGTAACGTTTGTTATTTATAACTTGTTAACACTTTCAGGCCTGATTATTTGAATTCGCTATAGGAGTAGGACGTCATTTGACTTCTATCTGCCATTTTGATTTAGCTTACCTGAAAGCCAATAGGAAATTAGGAAGTTGCTCACAAAATTAGTCATTTAAAACAGTGTACTAAGTATTTTGGGACACCCTGTGTATTCACATTTTTCCATTTTCGCAATTGGCTTCTATGTGACCTATAAGGTCACCGACTCGGTTAAATGAAATCTCATGACTTCATTCAACTCTATAATGTGCACTTGATATTTTACTCATTTCATTTATCAATCCTTGATACATGAGATCTAAAAGGTGTTTTACATCCAGATGGGCACAGATTTTATGTTTTCTTACACTTGGATTTTCCTATTTCAAATGGTGTCTTATTCGAGTGTTAAGGGGCTGAACTCGATGAGTCTCGATTAGGAAATCATGACTTTTTTTTACGGCTTACAGCTAGTAGGGGAAATAATTCAGGAGCAAGAGCAGAAGCAATCAATCCCATTTCAAATCTCATTACATTTAGCACTTGAGGGTGGTTCCGAAACCCCAGCAGCCAACTTCTCCATCCACACGAACTTTACTTTTGCATTTGAAAATATATTTTCCGTGAGAAAGACAAGTTCATTCCAGAACAGAATGCTAAATTCCAAGGCTGTCATGAAACGACTTTCTTAACAAGTTCCAAGGACTCCTCGAATTCGCGGAAAATTCCATTAGGACTCGAGGAGAGCTGTGTCACGGAGTGGAAGGACGAATGCCTTGCCCAATGCTCATGTAATACTCATTCCACTACGGTATGGATCCGGCTCCGTGTCAGTTATCCCACGTACGTCATTGGAAACCAAGAATTTCTGCTCATACAGTGCATTTATCCGTGATCTGCTGCAAGAATGCTAAGCATGCGCTACCGGAACTAGTCGCATCCATTCAAGACATCCCTCATTCTTCCCTGGGCACTATTGCATCGAAACGAATCCGGAACTCTTCGGTAGAAAACAGAATCAAGGCCGATGTTCACTGACTGCGAAGAGGTGCGCTGCGACCACAGTGAGCGTCGCAATTCGTATCGATTACGTTGGTTATAACGTGACCTACGCAGTTCGTATGGATCGCAGTGATTGTTACGCCCCCGTCGCACCTCTTCGCAGGCATTGGAATTAAAGTTCATGTTGGGCCCGCCCAAAAGCAAGAGTATTCGGGATATTCGGGATTCAAGAATCACTCTGCTCAGGCCAACGGAATCGAAGAGCATCCTGGGCCATGNTGGCTTCACGCTTTCATCGAATTCCAGACTCTACTCCTCTCCGTCGATTATTCCCTTCTCCCGTCTCGTGAGTACATTCCTGTCTTGCTTCGTGGAATTTCGCTCCATCAGCGTACTTCGCGTGTCTCTTACGTCAGGCACTGTCGCTCCGAAAAGCTACAGGGTCATAAATAAATGTTAGATATAGTGAATTCAAAAGTAGAACATGAGATCATCGACCGTAAAAGTACGATCGTTGCATTCGGATTTCTTCCGCGTCTATGCTTCTCCCTTTTCCCCTGTGACATTCATGCACGCTTTCTTTTCGTATGTATTCCAGTCGGCACAGTCCCAATCCAAATACGTGTTATGTAAGATGGTTTCTAGACGCCTACTATTTTCCATTTCGTAACATCAAGACTACAGGTGCAGCATTTGTGAATCAGTTTGCGCATCACTCTGTGATGAGTGCACTATCACTATTTCATTCTCGATCTGGCATAAGAAACAAATCATACATGCACTAATCGGCTACCTTAAATGTCGACTTCCGCCCATTCAATTGGTTATATGCCCCGTACAGGGTGTCCCAAAAATACCGAGTAAACTTTACTATAACATTTACTTATACACAACACATACATGTAACGTTTGTTATTTATAACTTGTTAACACTTTCAGGCCTGATTATTTGAATTCGCTATAGGAGTAGGACGTCATTTGACTTCTATCTGCCATTTTGATTTAGCTTACCTGAAAGCCAATAGGAAATTAGGAAGTTGCTCACAAAATTAGTCATTTAAAACAGTGTACTAAGTATTTTGGGACACCCTGTGTATTCACATTTTTCCATTTTCCCAATTGGCTTCTATGTGACCTATAAGGTCACCGACTCGGTTAAATGAAATCTCATGACTTCATTCACTCTATAATGTGCACTTAATATTTTACTCATTTCATTTATCAATCCTTGATACATGAGATCTAAAAGGTGTTTTACATCCAGATGGGCACAGATTTTATGTTTTCTTACACTTGGATTTTCCTATTTCAAACGGTGTCTTATTCGAGTGTTAAGGGGCTGAACTCGATGAGTCTCGATTAGGAAATCATGACTTTTTTTACGGCTTACAGCTAGTAGGGGAAATAATTCAGGAGCAAGAGCAGAAGCAATCAATCCCATTTCAAATCTCATTACATTTAGCACTTGAGGGTGGTTCCGAAACCCCAACAGCCAACTTCTCCATCCACACGAACTTTACTTTTGCATTTGAAAAGATATTTTCCGTGAGAAAGACAAGTTCATTCCAGAACAGAATGCTAAATTCCAAGGCTGTCATGAAACGACTTTCTTAACAAGTTCCAAAGACTCATCGAATTCGCCGAAAATTCCATTAGGACTCGAGGAGAGCTGTGTCACGGAGTGGAAGGACGAATGCCTTGCCCAATGCTCATGTAATACTCATTCCACTACGGTATGGATCCGGCTGCGTGTCAGTTATCCCACGTACGTCATTGGAAACCAAGAATTTCTGCTCATACAGTGCATTTATCCGTGATCTGCTGCAAGAATGCTAAGCATGCGCTACCGGAACTAGTCGCATCCATTCAACACATCCCTCATTCTTTCCTGGGCACTATTGCATCGAAACGAATCCGGAACTCTTCGGTAGAAAACAGAATCAAGGCCGATGTTCACTGACTGCGAAGAGGTGCGCTGCAACCACAGTGAGCGTCGCAGTTCGTATCGATTGCGTTGGTTATAACGTGACCTACGCAGTTCGTATGGATCGCAGTGATTGTTACGCCCCCGTCGCAGCTCTTCGCAGGCATTGGAATTAAAGTTCATGTTGGGCCCGCCCAAAAGCAAGAGTATTCGGGTCGTTGGTTATAACGTGACCTACGCAGTTCGTATGGATCGCAGTGATTGTTACGCCCCCGTCGCACCTCTTCGCAGGCATTGGAATTAAAGTTCATGTTGGGCCCGCCCAAAAGCAAGAGTATTCGGGATATTCGGGATTCAAGAATCACTCTGCTCAGGCCAACGGAATCGAAGAGCATCCTGGGCCATGCCCTCCCTTGCAAGCGATTTTTACGCCGAATTTCTCATTTCCTCGCGCTTTTAGAGAGAGAGAGAGAGAGAGAGAGAGAAAAGGCGTCTCCGTGGCATTGAAATTGAATACAGGAATCCCGGGTGGGCTTATCGTATTCATAATACGATGGGAAACTGGATCCATATACCAGAATATGACTTCTGTAAAACATAAGCCATCATATGTAAACTGAAGATAACCATGCCATTGACCCGTGGAAAGTCTTATCAGGAGACGTAAGGACTTTCAAGACTATTTAGTCGTAAGTACAAATGGTACCTGTGAATGATGGTATAAAGTAATTAGCCAATAGCCACCATCTTAATTTTTTTCTGAATTCTCTCTTTTCCAACAATATCTGACTTTCATGCTGTTGGCCATCCTTTAATTGGAGTACAATCACGTGAAGAATGGTGTTGTTTGAACTCATTGCAACTGTTCATGCAAATCATTAAGGTGCTGTGATGATTTTCCGTTTCCCGGTAGAAACAATCAGCCCTTACATTGTTCCTCCTGATTTCCAGAAAATATATAAAACGTTAGAGGCGCTAAAATGAATGAACGGACATGACAACGTGGAGACTAATCAATTGGTCTGATTATATTGAATGTTTGAATTGAATTATGAATAGTGTGACGGATAAGGATGACATCGAGAGGCTCAACTGAATGTGTAGGGTTCGGTAGTGTAGTGGTAGCACACCTGACCGGCAATCAGGAGGCCCGGGTTCGATTCTCGGCCGTTCCTTGGGTTCTTTCGACCTCTCATGCCGTCCGACTCCCGAAGTTCCCCTCCGTAACAATAGGTAATCTAATCCAGTGACGCAGCAAAACTCACCTAAGGAAAAAAGAAGGTCCGATTAAGAATCGCCTCCTCCGGAAGCAAACGTCATGCACTTCTCGGATGCCGTATGTCAGGGATGCTAAACTCGATTCGGCTGGGGGCCGAACGGAACCCTTCGGGGCCTCGTAGGGGCATCATTAACCGAAGATCAGGCTGAGATATGACAGCGCTTTTTTCCAAAACCAACTGTTGAAGTGGGCTTTCAGAGGGCAGGAAAATGGACTCTGGCTGACCGCCAGTTTGGCACTCCCTTTTGATGTTGTCGAGGTGATCCTCACTTCCCGAAGTCTTGTTTCTTTCCTTTTGGAGGCTTCATCCCACACACCACACACCATCCGACACACCTTCCCACACGCCTGTTTTACACCAAAGGATTTCCGAACGTCTAGTATTCAGCGCTTTTTAGTACTTTCTATGCTTGATCAGTTCCTAAATTTCCAGATGAAGCCCCGCTAAGACGCATCCATGGGTATTTTGTGTGCTGGATTATTTTCTTTGTATTTTTTTTCTTAGTTTGTCATGTGTTTTGGAAAACAAGTACTGTAGTTCAGCTCTGGGTCAGTGAAAATGACTTGGAAAGGCCCATCTGCAGAGAAGATACGAGTGCATTAATATCTCATTCGTCGAAATCGCTTTAATAACTTTCGTTGCAGGCCGGTTTCTGTTTTTGACGATACTGTTGACTGAGATAATTACGAATGCAGGGCATTTGTGGGCACTGGCAACATTTTCCATGGAAAACGAAAATTTGCGTTTTGATTGTGCTGTCTGTGGTCAAAAATAATCCTGCATAAAATATGAATATAATCTTGACTCACAAGAGTATCTCTGTGACTTCTGGTCACGAGTTGCTCTGCCATTCAAAAATATAATCAATATGACACGACGTAAACATGATCGGACACGACGTGGCCTAGTATGATAGAAGATGGCATTACATAACTTGTTTTGTTATGATAGAGAACTCATCCGTCAGATTCATGCCATCGTATCATACCGTTCTGACATCCTCTCAAGGTCGAAGTTTTATACGAATTCTTTTGCCTCCTGCCAGGATGGAACTTGGGCAATCTCGATTCCCCGCTTCGCCGTTCAGTTCCTGTGAGTTGAGGGTTCGCTTGTCTCTCACGCGGGCGCACTTACCTGGGTATGCAATCGGAGTGTGTCCTTTCGGATGTTTGCGTGACTTTATAGGCGGACCTACTGCCGTACTTGGAGTTGGGGGAGACGACGCTGGAGGAGCTGAGGAGACTGCTCAAACTTCCAGGCTGGTCATTGGCGGACTCAGCTCCCTATAATACCTCCATCAAACGCATCAACATCCCCGAATATTCTCAAACCATCTTCCTCACGCAGGTACACACACACGATAAACTGGCCCAGTAGAACTGTCGTCTCGAATCTCACAATTGTCCGGCACGGATGCCACATGGGCTCCTACTGAGTAATCTAGCAGTTCAGTATTCAGCCTTCGATTTAAAGGGATATTAGTCTAAATTAGTTCCATTAGAACAGAAACTAGGCCTATGATCTAGTTCCAGAAACTAGGCCTATGATCCAGGGTTACACATGAGCGTGCAGGTCACAAGCAGCAAGCAATATATCTTGGGTTGCAATCGCGCACGAAACCCTAACAAACGAAAGAAAAATCCTTTGAGGTCATCAGCCTCGGGATTTGAAGATAACATCCCAAGCAGGATGTGCCACTGTTCCACACTCCGTCTCATGAGATACTTGTGAACGTCGTGGAGAACTGTGAGGGAAGAAAGGGGGAACATTAAACATCGCTTGGAAAACGTCTTTCCCCGAGACTTACAGCTGTTTTTCCTCTGTAACCATAGCCTCTATCCCGTGTCCAGATTTCTGAACGTTTGGATATTTTATCCATTATTCAATACGTATTTATTGGAGCGAAACTCCCCCCCCCCCCCTTCTTTCTTTCCCATCTGAGACCTATCTCTTGCTTATGTCCTCCACCGATTTATACTGATCTTATATGCTAGACTGTCGCTACTCTTGCATCGATGAGAACGATTTTCTCATATGCGAAGGGCATTGCATATTTCACGTATTTGACCTTGTTCCTAGTGTGCACTGATTCATCTTGATGTTCTCCCGCATATTAAAGACATGCTGACTGGGCTAAATACACTTCCCTTCTTCCTGGCGGAAACAAAGGATGGAATGATCAATTAGGTTCATTAGTAGCGAAGAACGGGGAGCAATAAAGGAACTGTCCAGAACATAGGGGCTTTGGTCTCAAAAAGCGAATTTAATGTAAATAAATATGTAAATATTCATATAAGCATGGAAAAATATATTGTTAATATGTATAAACAATATATATTTAGTTGATAAATTGGTTGGAAAAGTAAGCTGCAGTAGCCTCTTGTCCGCAAAGACAGTCAGATCGTTCCCAAACAAGTCTGTCATATCAAAATACCACGTAGGATTCGTCCTTTCCTAATTGCATTCTCCATGCATCTCTGGCACAAATTCCGTGCTAAGTTATATAACTTCAAACTGGGACAACCAACAAGCAGTCATCATCATTAAGGAAGCTAATGGAACATGAATATTTGGAGCAAAGTTGTGACTTGGCTAGAGCATGTTTAAAAAAAAACTAATGATAGTGAAGGGTTTCTTTCAATGAAGCTATCCAGCAGCCTACTTCATCGAGGGGTTAAGGTCAGGAAACCATCTGATAACTGCTAAATAGGTCCTTTTTTGCTATCAGGCATTGGTGTTATGGTTTTAACCAATAAAGGTAGATTCTGTGAAGCAAAGAGCCCTCACAGCATAACTCCTGCTGAAGTCACTGCTGGCAATTGATTAGTCCAACCGGTCTCACAACCTAGATACGTGAATTTAAGTAAGAAAATTTCTCTGGATCAGGATGAGATAAAGTGAACTGAAGGTAGTGGGAGGAAAAACGGAGGCAGCTTTATCTTTAAAAAAAAAGGGGGAGAAAGAGGAAAGATGTATCCAGCCGACAGTGTCCAGCATGACTGCGGCAACAGTAGTGAGAGAAAGTTTCCATAGCTTCAGGCACAAGCATCACTGGTGCACAATCTGGATAAGGCTAATATACTGTAAGCTTGCCTGATGGCACCCAATGGAGAGCATTGTGGAAGTGGGGATGACGATGCTCAGGTTCCCATAGCATGACGACTGTGTCGTAGTGATAGGTTTCCCCGCTCCGTGTGCATATTCGTGCCCGAGCCACATCATGTTCATATGCATTAAATGGAAAAGAGAGATTGATGTAGAGAATAACCAATTCACTGGGATCAGACAATGGATTGCAGAGCGATTTATGTTTGTGCTGCAATCCGAGCCTGTGCTCAAGTAGGACTAATCCGACTCTGATGTGGAAGAATGAACTATCCTACTATGGGTAAAAACCTAGAAATTCTCTGGGATGAAAAATAAATATAATGCAGAATATAGCTATTGCAGAGAAGAGTACGAGGCTTGTTAATATAAGAGACAGGGCTTCATTTCAAGAATGAAGAAAAAATGATTTCGAAGAATTGCGGAGATCTGTTAACCTGTAATTTATGATATTTCTGCTGATGTGATAAGGGATGCTAGTCATGGGGATTTTTAGAACTCTAATAGAGAAATCTTTTGGCTGATCATGTATACATGTCATGATCTGAGATAAATTCTTCAGGTTCACATTCAAATTATTCGCCTTGTGAAAAGGTGCTTGAGTGGTTTCTTCAACTTCAGTGACATATTTTACAGGGTGGGGTGGGCGTGGGCTTGGCAGCCCTAGCAGCTCAGCACTTTCTCCCAAAGGAAAGTGCCTAGTGCCCCCTGTGAGAGATTTTTTTTCTCCTCCGAGATCCTTCTCTCGGCACCCCCCACCGGCCCTAACAACCCTCTTTCTCCTACCCTGACCCCCTTGGCTCATGAGCCAAAATATGCCAGTTAAACCTCCATAGATTCTGGATAGATGCATGTGATATCTTCTATGATTGCCAGCAAATCATTGATATAACTAGACATGAAGTCCTCTGGACCTCTTTTCCAATCGTCTGGGAGTTTTAACCACCCTGTATACTGATGTATACTGATTGCTTCACCCTTTTGCTTTATGGATTCACGCGACTTTGACAGTCCCAACATTCTACCTGATTCTCATATAGAAGGCGTTGAAAAAAAAGGATTATTTATGGGAAAACTGTTGGACTATAACTTATTACAAAAAAAAGTTTAATAACGGCTTGGAAGCGGACTACAGCGGCGCGCAGGCTGAAGGCATAAAACCGAAAGATGGAATTCTATCGATCGGTGAAGGTACAGAACATTGAATATGATGCATAAGGAAATTGAATGCCAGCCGCAAGACTTTCATTTTTCTCCTTCCGTCACACCAGAGCGCAGTCATTCCGCATAGAGCATAGTCATTTAGCAATCTCATGTAAATTCTAGAAAGGCAAGGACCATCCGACCTTGTACATTCCACCGGAAGGAAAAGCGTTGCGTTCTTTAACCTAGGAAACCAGGCGACGATCGAAACGGTTCAGAGGCATTTTTCGTCGTTCCGACATTTCTACCTTCGGTTTTTCGAAATTCCCCGCTCAGGATGCCAAAGTAGCCCCCAGCGTGACTGTCCAACTTTAAAACATTTTTTATAATAAAAATGATGCGTCTAATATATATTATCTGCTCTAGCCGTCCTATTCTTTCCCTTTTGCAAACACAATGCTGGAAAAGTAATTATTTCATCTGGCCATGTCACGCAAATAAAGGGCTTCATCTTTGTGTTGCTAGTCAGGTAATGAATGCCTAGATACTAGGCGAACTCTAAGGCCCGAATGCTGAAACAGGGGCCTTTAAGCTAAGGAGCTCTTTTTCCTCCATAGGAGTCCATGTATTCCTTAAGGACCGTTAGCTAGAGAAAGGAGGTTTCAGCATTTGAGCCAAAGTCAATTTAGATACTCAGAGAGATTTATCTCGGCAATCTGTGGGTAGTGTGGCCTTGAATTGGGTAGAGGAGTTCACAACACCAAGGGGGGAAGCATAATGAATCCACTGTCATCTCGTGTAGAGGGTCCCACGCGTCGATTGGAATAAGCACTACTGTAATAAATGTTGGAAATGTCCATCATTTTCTCAATGACAGCGTCCCCTCGTGCAAACAGATGACTGATAGCAGACAGCAACGTCGGAGGCGTAAGAGCAGGGACCTCATGGCAAATTCAGTCCTTAAGCTCTGCCAGTTCTCTGGCAGTTTAAATTTTTCGAACAACTGGCATGAGTAGCCCCCCCCGTACAACGCTTTTACAGCCACTACCAACCGATGTGTGGTTCCCTCTCCGTAGATGATTAGGTAGTGAGTGCACTAATAAGTGCTGAAATATGGACATTTGCATGCAGGAAAATGTCATAATATGCAAAAGTAAATATAATGTACTTTTCCCGACTTTCCTCTAGAAATCATGTGTGGGAGGGGGGGGGGGGATCTTTCCGCAAAAATCACCAGCCCACGCGGTTTATTTTCATAATAGGTGAAACATGCGTGTATATGCAGATGTAGGCATACCATGCATAAGCACGCAAAACCGTCAAAATATGCAGGTTTAACGTGCCACCACCTTGGCACCTCTTTGAGAAATACCTCCTATCTGGATATCCTCCTCCTATAACGTTGCAGGAAAAATATGCATTTGTCTAAAAATCCACTCTCTAGTGATGATGGTGCACCCGTTATCCACCTTCTCCCCTTGGTGTCTTGAGCTGCTGTCACTATTCAAGGTCGTATGATCCTTAAATACGGTGATATTTCTCGGAGTAGATATACAAACTCATCCGGTATACCTGATTTGATCCTCTTATGGTCCTCTTATATAATGGCTATGATCCTTTTATATAATCTGCTGAAGAACTTACAATGGTTCTTCGTTTCTTTGTGCTTTCAAGGTATTTTTTGTGCGAAGCACTTTAGCAAAAAATATATTATGCAGAGATTAAAATACGAGCGTAGCATAATTTTGTTTTACGAAGGTGCAATCCTTCCAAATTTCCAACTGCTTGGAACCACTTCCAGCATTTTCTTCCTAGGCTCCATCGTAAAGCTTCTTGGCATTCACATCTTTGAAGCGTTCCATACACGGCCGGAGGGATCGTAATGAGAGGCATGCCATCACAAAGGGCGGGTGTATTTTTATCATGGGTCATGGCTTTCTCGGGTTTCTCCTCAAATTCAATTTGGACCAAAATTATGGGCCAAAAACCGTCTCTTTTTTCCCTCATCCCTTGTCCGTAGTAAGGGGAAGCGAGAGCGCATGCGCGAATGAATGAGATTCTTCTCACTTCCGTTGATGTGGCTTTTATTATTTCTTGGGGGGAAAAAAGACGGAGTTGCCGATCACCGCGGACGAGATGATGAAGTTTCTCTGGACAGAGGGGGAAAAAACGGCGTCTTGGAATCCCACCGTGGATCTCACACGCGACGTCCTCGTGAGTTCCCTCCGAGTTTTATTTACAACGCTCGTTAATCTCCGGGGAATCCTTCATGTTTTAATGACCGAGGTTGGTGGAGATGAGTTCTTCCCCGACGAATTATTCATTAAGCCACTCGTTGGTTTCAGGATATAGGACAGCACGGGAGAATCACTTACGTTCAGAGTACCCATCTGTTCTTCAGTCGGGACTTCGTGAATATGAATTATTGGATCTACGATCACCTGGAGAAGAGCTATTACCTGGCATACGTCAGCACGAAATACAAGCTTCTGCCATTAAACTCGCTATTTACGAGGTACCGAGGTGTCATTTTTTCCTTTGCTCGTGGCTCGTTTTTCATGCTTCAATTCGCTCTCGATTTTCTTTGAAATTCTTTCTCTCCTTTCTCTCCAGAGCCAACACGGGGCCTAGCGGGATGCGAATATCGCGGAAAACAGGAGACCCGTCTCGTTGCGTCTTGGAATGGGTCTTCAATGTGGACCTTAAAATGTTCATCCCAGACTTGATCATGAGCCGAGTGATCCCCTCCAAATTGAAGCAATACGTGGAAAGCCTTCAAATACGGATCAAAGATATCAGAAAATCGAAGTAGTAGGAAACGTAACGGCACGATGATCACGGCGACTTCATTCAACTCAGGTCTTCTTGTCCTTCGAAGCAGAATTTGGGAATTATCGAATTATCGCTGGAATCCCAGCCTTCATCTTGCCTTGACAATCATTGTGGTGTCGTATCCGAATTTTTACTCTTGGAACGAAACTCAGGTCAAGAAATGGAATCCCGAATCTCAAATGAGGATGGAGATCTGGGAAATGTTCTCGTAATTCCAGGTCTCATGTGAATTACGAAGGAGAAAAGGATTGTCATTCATTTGTTTGTTATTCATTGCTTTGAGTAAATATTCCCTTCTTATTTTGTTTGGGAAAATAACGATGGAAAGTTTGTGGAATTCTGAATCAAATTTGAATCGTTTCGCATATTTTTCTGGGAAACTCGAATCAAATACCGAACCGTCAGTAATCAAACGTGATTCAAATTACTCCTCATCGTTTCAAACCGAGCTAGAATCGGATTCGCGCAGAATCTCGATTTTGGAATTGCCCATCATTCATTTGAATGCGTCTTTTTGTTAGGGCATGACTCCACGGGCATTCAACATGTGATATGATTGTGACACTCGAGCATGTGACCTTGAAAAGTGATATGTATTACTTTGAATGTTGTGATGATGGTGATATATGATGCGAATTTTCTGTTGTCTGCATTTATACTCGAAAATTCCGTGTTCATATATTTTCTTTCTGCCAATGAAAGACATTCGGTACTGTCACAAATTCGTCATTCCAGAGATATCAACATTTTTCCTGCATAGAGAGATGAGATAAGAAACGATGATCGTAAAAAATTCACTGAGATGGCAGAGATGGGGGTTTCTCGTGCATAAATATAATAATATTCTCTGCCGTTCTCAGGCGCTGGCAGATGTCTAAAAGAAAGCAAGATGAAGGTAGCAGCATCACAGGACGGAGCTCGAGGAATGACGAGGAATTGAGGTGAGTGATGAAGCAGTAACAGGGATGTCAATCATGGTTGATGGAAGACGTAAATCGGTGAGGATGGATTCACTCTCGCTTCTCGGGGCGTCGGCCGAAGTCCTCGACGATAGAGCTGGCCGCAGGCCGAGGCCTGAAGTTGGACGGGGGCGGTCGCCGCTGGCTCAGAGGAACGGAGACGTCATCCGAGGAGAAGAAGGCGTTCTGTGATCCCTGAGGAGAAACCGGTCGTGGGGGAGGTCGTGAGCCCTGTTTGGGGTCTGCAAAGGCGGGCAAGTCTTCGGTGTATTCCTCGTCTTTGTAATCGTATTCGTAGTCTGGGTGCGAGCCGGAAGCCCTGGGTGGTGGCCGTCCCCCTCCCTTCGATGACTCTCGAGCTGCCAGCTCTGAAATGCTCACGTGAGTCCCTGGCGCATATCCCTTCGGGTAATACCTGCAAATACATACAGCCGCGGGTCGTTTTGGTCGAAGCCGATGCCAACCAACATTTCTGTCATCGTTCCAGACAGGAATAGCCCGCTCGGGCACGTTTAACGATAATATTGTGATCCGGTCTATCTAGGTATCTAACGAGGGCAACAACTTCGTGTAAATATCTCGCAAGTCTGACGGTTCTTCTGCTTCATCGACGCATTCCCATGTGAGTGTACCTTGACAGTAGACTTACTCTTAGAAAGTTCACAAAAGTAACAATCATGAAGACACTCTTATCAGCACCCTTTGTGCGATGGGAGAGTGTAGCGTATTTAGATATCTGCCCTTTACAACCCCCAAAAAGGGGTGCAATATGGCTTTAGGTACCTAAGCAGTAGGTCGACACGCTCCGGAAAAATAAAAAATAAACGGTGTTGGGAGGAGTAGGCCAATATAAAATGAGTGTTCGACCTTGACTTTGGGTGCCAATATGGGCAGAAATGCCTCTTGAAGTCCCAGCCTAAACCTTGAATCTAGAAACCTTACGATATAGGGTAAGAGTTCAACGAGCTGGAGATGGCCTGTCAGTGGCCTCGGGGTTTTAACTTCTGCGTGGCGAGCTGCAACACTTCACATATTATGGATAAGTTAATTTTGCGAACTGAATATGAAAGAATGGTGAAAAGTCTATCTTCGTCGTTATGTCGTTGCCTTCCTTCTGTTCGGGGCTTATGTAAAGTAAATGACGCTCTATTTCTCTTTGATTCTACTTAAGATGCCATTTTGGCATGAATGCCCTCGTCAATTGAAAGCTTTTTTTCAACCCTTGCGCTTGGCATGTCATACCTACTGATAAATGCAGCAGCCTTCGCAGGGCGATTGAATAAATACGGACAGGTACGTAGAGCGAGGTGATACCAGCCTTCCTCCTCCCATGCCAACCCTGCCCCATCGGCGTGTCAGTCATACGTTCTTCGTCGTGTGGGTGGCATGGCATTGTTTCCTCTCGAGGTTTTCAATGCTGCTTATGGACGCGGCAAGAAATCGGGATGAACCGCGGCGACGGTCATCATCGCGTGTAGAAGTTTCCGATCGCGAGAAATCGCCTCGTGACCACCGTCCGGCCTCGAGGGACACAAGTTTACAGGAGACCTAGCGCGGTGCTAAGGACGAAGTTCGTCGAGGAAAATTATCGATGAAGCAAACCCTGCAGATGCCATTAGATTTAAGCAGTCTGGTGGAAGCATGCGAGCGAGCAGTGGAGCGGGAGAGGAAAGAGGCTGAGATCGTCTCGCTTCTCTTCGCATATCCTCAATCGCATATATCTTCAAGTATTGAATGCCCGACGAAAGGAGAGATCATTCCATCGATATACGGCTCGGCGCCGTGGCATCGCGGAATGAGAACTCCAAAGCGAAAAAAAATCTCCATTAAATCTTCATCTTCTCCTGGCGGCAGATAATCGACGGTGACGTCACAAAAACCGACGAATTCTTGCATTCGTGCCTAATGCCCCGTACAATTTTCATCTCTATCTCATACTCTACCGAGTTCCACCTGCTTGAACGTGAACTTCATTCTGAGTGCGTTGTCCCTTGAAACTTTTTTAATTGCCTCTCGATTTCACATCGGAGTACGCAGAGAACTTCCCCCGATCGGGACGAACTTCTCAAAATTGCGCGAATACTATATATATTCCCGTGAACCGAAAGAAAAGTTGTCGAATCTGACTCGCAGGGATATCTTTTCACGAACCTGTCTGCATAGATGAGGGACTCGTTGTGGGTGCGGGCCTGATTTTCGTTGATGGGTTTGTACAAGTACTCGTTGACGAAGTGGAACTTGCTGGAATCCTTGCACACGTCCTCGGTCCCATCCGGCATGCAAATCAGGTGCACCTGTTCGAAAGCAATATACGATTCATTTCTCGTACGAGAGATCCGTCCGCTTCCGCGTTCTCTCGGCGATTATTCATACGTTGCTCCTCCCTTCATCGTTATGCCGACCTGGTGCGCCGTTAAAGCGCAAAGGGACTTTCTTTCGGAGGGAAAACATTTCTTGGAAGGAGTCCTGAAGGTGAAAAAAGGGAGGATTTCATTAGTCTGGAGGAGCACGTTCACCTACGTGTTGCTCCAACGCATGAAGCTCGTGCCAGGAGCGGTTTCTGTTTTTTTATTTTTTTTGGCTGCTAGTTTGTCGTAGCGGTTCCCCCATAAGACAGGTTTTCTTTTTAGAAGTACTGGCACTGGAATTTACTGCACTGTACCGTCCTTATTTTGCATCCTTACGATGCATTTTACGATATACACTTTCTTTCTCGCTCCTGGCTTCTGTAAAGCGAAGAGATATGCACCGAGCATTCGCGTCAGTACATGCCAGTACGTGTAAATCAGATAGGTGTACGTTTTTCTGCTCACCGCTAGACTGGAGAGAAAGCCGACGAAAGATTTACTGATTTCTGATGAGAGCTGTATCCCATCAATTAATTTACAGCTTCTCGGTCTGGCTCGTTCGGGTCCCACCCTTCTTCCTTCTACACGAGACTATCGCATCGCTTTCACTGGTATCAATGAACGAATCCCCAGTAAATGACCTGAAGATCAGAAAGAAAGCGGTCATGGCTTTTCTCAACGGTGGTGGGACGGAAAAGTTTACTTCAAATGGCTTAAATTCACGGCGACGTTAAATTTTCTTTCTCTGTAATCGACTTCGAAAAAAAAGAGTCGATCATCGACGCACCCAAAGGGTAAGGTCGACCACTCCTGAAATTTCGGAGCACAGGGATTTTATCATTAAACCACCCGAAAGGTGTATTTGCAACTGCAAGAGACATGAGTAAAACTGAGGTTATTGATATGACCAGTGATGAATCCGATTCTGTATGACCGAACAGAGACAGATCTCATCGTCTCCCAGTTCCTCTTCGTGGGTGCTCTTTCATGGCGGCTAGAAATCGTTCATCTTACCCCTCGTCCCGAAGCAGAAATGTAATCCAAAGTTGCATTCACATACTGTATGGCAGGTGGTAAGGATCGTTAAACCCCCCCAGAGTAGGAAAGAGAAGGACCTGGTGGAATTTGGCGCCCATGGGGCACATCCAGGAACTGCGCACGCCGTCTGCGCAATAGTGGAACACCTCGCATTCCAATCCCTCGTCTGCGTAATAGCCGTTCTTCTTCTGGACGCAGTCGAATCTGGTCTTTTGCAACAATAGGGTCAATCGGTCCGGCTTATCCTCTTCCTCTTCCTCTTCCTTGTCCTTTCCCTTTCCCCCGGGACCGGGCTGGTTCGGTACCCGTCGCCGCTCGTGCTCGTAATCCGCTATCTCCTGTCAATTTCATCATTCCGTTCTCGTTAAGAGACCTTTGACATAAAAAGGAAAAAGGGGAGTGATGGATGACGAGGGCAAGAGAGACGGACACTCGTTCACGTACACGGGCACTGGCTATTAAGGGTGTGAAATTAGGGTGCCCATCGATTGGTCTTCATGGGAAACAGACTGGAACGAGAAAGCCCCGGCAGTCCGGTTTTTTTTTTTTTTATCTCTCCCACAGTCGAAATGTACGTGCTTCCCATCCGCAATGACCTTGTCCGGAAATGAAACACCCTTCCCTCTCTCTTTCTCTTCTCTACCCCTTTGCCCGCACTTCCTCGCGACGAACTCCACGTTTTACAACCACTGCTTTTCTTTCAACCTGCATAAATCTCACTTTATGCGGCAATTCGATTCAAGTGGTATATATTTTATTTTTATGGTACGTAATACGAGATAAGGAATCCATCATCCTCCTGACCCCAATCTGCCTTCACTACGCCCGGTGCCGAAGGGCACCATTTCCGCACGAGGAAAAACTGTAGAGGCCTACATCGTGTAGGTCCGTGGGGCGTATGCGCGTGCGATGCATATACCTGGATATCGGGTCTGAAGGGTCTCCTCGGGGGTCCATCGGGTGGAGTGAAAAGGGGTTCCTGTCTCTTTTCTGCCGGCTCGTCTGCCTCGTAGTCCTCGTCGTACTCGTCGTAGGCGAACGGCAAGGGGGAGAACGGAGGGGGTGGGGATTGTGGGGGCGGCGGGGGCGGTGCCGGAGGATCCGCTCGTCTCTCTTCCGCTGTTGTTGCATAAAATCCGGGTCAATTCGGGGTCTTCAGAACGATCGTCTTCGATCGATATTACCGCTTCAGGAACATCCAGTATACCGTACGGATCGCGTGAAACTTAAAGATAGTTAGTGAAAAATGAATTTTTTAAACGGTAGGAAGGTTACAAGGTCCCCGCTTATTGGAACTGGACACCACATACCTGGATATCAGGAGCTATCACACACTTGGGATGAAAAATATAAACTTTAGCTTATCGACGAAATAAATTCCAAATTCACGGTAATAGTCAAGCAGACCTCTGCGAGGAGGGGGTTCCCTGAAGGGCTGAGACTGTCGATCCTGCTTGTGGACTTGGAATGAGGGAGGTTTGATTTTAGGGCCTCCTCCTCGACCAGGCAGGAGTTTGCTTTGGATCAAGCCTCTTGCAGGTCCCAGAAGAGGCTGGTTCCCTTGTCCTTGACCTTGACCTTGACCTTGGCAGTGAACACAGGCCAAGGACACCAGTACTAACCACCAGCCCTGCACCTCCATCTTACAAATCTTCTCAATCTATCCTATTGTATATGTGATGTGCAAAAAAATCGCCTTAAAATTTGGTTTGTGAACTTTTAACATTTAAAACAAATTAGACAACATTTTCAGTCTCATCTTTTTTAACCTCTTCAGGGATGAATTTTTCGACACGGGAAAAAAAAAATATATATATATTAAAGGTGTAGAGTACCTTGCAAGCTGGGGGAACAGTGACACCAACTGCAATGAAAACCTCTGACAAACTGGCAATACCTAGGGCATCTGATAGTTGGGGATCAGTTTTTTGACCAGTTTGAAATGCATTGAATCAAACGTCCACATTAGTACCAGTATCTCTGGAGAGGTTAAATGAAGATTCCGAGATTGGAATCCCATCTCAACTTACATGAATTTAAAACTAGATTAGATCACTTGGCGCAAATAAGACTATAATTTTACATCTTACTCTACTTCTCGCCAAGAGTTGAGATATGGGGCTGTCCTTTCTGGCGATATCGGGAAAAAGACGATTTGGCATTCACCAAGGCACGGCTGAAACGAAAACCAAGTGACGAAAGGGTCACGGTAATATAGTAGTCTCACGAACTAGAGTGATGAGAGGGGGAACGAGAACACCGGACGGCGTGAGGGTGACTGAATGGGAAGGAGGGCAATTCTTGGCCTTTTATAGGACCCCATAGCCAACGTACTGCTCATCTCAGGAAGAAGAAAGTCGCAGTCACAGTCACACGCACGCACACGCACGCACACGCTCATACACATACACACACGCGCACGATGCAATCCTCTCGTGGAATTTCGTTGCCGACACTTTTTCCAAATCCGGCTAAGCCGTTCCGACGGACCCGTTCTTGAAGGATCGTAACACTTCCTGGATCGAAATTTCCCTTCGCTGGTTCTTGTTCTTGCGGCGATAGCGATAACAATGATTCGGTATCGAGAAGTCCTGGACCGTTTGTCTCCGGAGACCTCGAATAAAGTGACCCTTTCTATGCAGCTCGACAATAGTAAAACACGAAAAGAAGGAGGTCGGTTTCACTTTCATCTCGACGACTTGTCGCTCTGACTTGTCGCTCTGAGTTGTCGGCCGTCGGCTCGAAGAGGAAGGAACATGTCATATCGTCTCGGAGAAAGGTCTCTGCCGTGAGATCTTTTCCCCTCTCATTAAGGCTTCCGGTCACGAAACGCGCGCGGAGTCATTGCAGCTGTCCGATCCATCGTCTTCCCGCCTCAGACCGGAAGGCGAACCTGACATCTACGGAAAGCGCCGAGTAGGAAGGGAAGGCGCAAGAAGGTGGAGCTCTCGGGATAGATGAGGAAAAGTTACTAGAATAAACGGATTTCACTTTATGGAGGATGGTTACTGCACCGTAAAATATACTGTAACAAATGATAAAAAATGAGTCGATTAAAACAACGGAGGAAAAAAGAAGAGACAAATAGCTTTATGTACGAAGCGTAAGTGAGCCAGTAAATCAGTACAGTAACGAAGAAACAATAAATTAACTATTATGGCACGCATCGTGGATCGGTAATTGACTGCTTAAAAGAAAACAAATGTACCGGATTCGGCTGCGTGCTCGTGACATGAATGCACGTGTTTCCCACTCGTGAAAGCACGTGTGTGACGAAAAAACTGGACACCTGTGGATGCAAAATGTTAACGAGTCGTCGAGCCATAATCCGTTGGAATCGATCGTCGGGACTCGTTTTCTCTCGACGGCATTCCTGCTGCAAGCGAGGAAGGGGAGAAAAGTCCTTTTCCATTCGGTTCGCATCGTTCCGTCCGTGTGTTGTGTGCCCTGACTTTTGAGTCATGCCGTGAAGATGGACGAGTTATCGTCACGAGATACGAGTGGATGCATCATTTCACTCGAGTAAGGCCGACCTAGTACGGTCGTGATCGATAAGGTGCATTAGGGGATGGACGGCTTCATCGATCGCATCTCGTCGGCCTCACGATGAACGACGAATGGAGGGGCCCCTCGTCGGCCTCACGATGAGCGACGGATGGCCCCTCGTCCCCGGCCCGAGGCTGCACCCAGTCGATCGACGGACGATTACGAGTTCATCGCGGAGTCGATCCCGTCGTATCGACGGTCGAAAACGAAAAGGGAAGATGAGGATCCGGCAGATGGAGAGTTTCCTTTCGTCATGCCCGCTTGGTCATCCAGGTCCTCCGTCTGCCCTCGTTTCGTTCCGTCTTCTTTTTTTTTTTCGTTCTTCCTTCCTCTTCTGTGTTTCTCGTCCGCTTCCTTCCCTTTGATTCTCTTCGTTTCCTTCTGATCCGCCGACATGCTCCGCCTCGTCGCTTTCCGAATTTCTGTACGGGTCGGCACCGGTCTACCCCACTTTTCCATTTCCCCTTCGGTGATCCTCTTTCGAAGTCTCGTCGCTCGTGAAGAAAACATGGAAACTCGAAGAAAAGAAAAAGTTGGAGCGTAAATAGGAGTAAAACATGATGACGTCTTCGGCAGAGACGGGAAAAAGAAAGATTTGAAAGGGTTCCGTAGGAAGAAAACGAGTAAAAAATACAGAGGGAAGCGTCATTCCGTAATCGCCGACAGAAAACACCTGTGATGTACGGATCCTCGAAAAATTTCTCCCAAACGTTCTCGGAAAGAAGGCCAATCGTCGGGTTGGGCCGGCTCGACTCGTTTTCTCACGACGAAATGGCCTGGTTGCGGGTCGGGACGTTGGGTCGATTTGGATACGCGGACATGAAGGTCACCTCGATCGATCATCACGTGGGAAAGATTCCAGGTTTATTGCCGAATGGCTTCGGGAACCGAGATGGACGCGGAGGAAGGGAAATTCGTCTCTCTCACGTCCGAGCTCGGATCTGGACTGGAACGGCAGAAAAAAAAAAAAGGGAAACGCTGTTTCTCGTCTCCGCGGTCTCCCCTGCGGTTTTCGCGTGTCATCATCCTCGGTTCTTTTCTTTACGCGGGCCGCAACGAAGGAAAACGGAACCCCGTTTCAAAAGAAAGCCGTTGGCGTCGGGATGGGACTTCGTTCCAGATTCTTCCGGTTTCGGCAGTCTTTTCAATTTTTTTCTATCGCAATCATACCGATCGCTATTGCCATCGACTCGGCAACGTCTCTCGATCACTTCAAGGTTTTGGTGTCGGGAGCGATGCTTTTCCGACATCGTTCGTCAGGGCAGTGCGATTCCTATTTTTCGTTATCACTCTCGGCTTTTGCTTTCGATGAATATTTTCTAAAGCGTGCCAGTGGATTATTATAATATATATTAAGGATCGTCGGTGATAAAACCTTTCCCCAGAGAAGATTCCATCCTCGCAACTCGCGTTCGTGCTAATGCATGACCTCCATCGTTGGCATACTTTCTACACTCCTCGATTTCCCGGTGCATCGAGTTTCGAATCGAGAGTTCCGGTACTCCGGTACCCCGGTACTCGGGTACCAAGACCCGAAAGTACGTCGTCGGGAATCTCGCCGGATCGACCCGATGACCGATTCCGTTTCGGCAAACGAATTCGCCTCGCTCACGAGGTGTGGCTTTCGGTTCGAGTACCGGCAGTACGGAAAAGCACTTTCAGGGGAGTCGTAAAGCCACTGGGAAAAAATGAAATTCGTTCGAACTCGTCTCGACACAAAGAGTTCGCATTTTGGAGTCGACTGATACGAACCCTAAAAACTACTTTAATTGAAAAATCAATTGAATGCAAAATCGTCGCAAAAATCGTTGAGCCGATTTCGAAATGATAAGTCGTGAATGGATTAGCGTCCTTTAAACGGATCCGAGAGTAGAAAGTATCGAGTAAGTACTGGCAATACCAGCTCGTTCATGGCGGGATTTCAGATGAGGTGCTTCACCCGCGTGTCGAAGTTTCGGGAGTCGAGGTTCGTTACCGTCCAGCTTCCATTAGCTAGAACGAGGAAATGTTGCAATCCCGGTGCTGACATTCGCATTCCGCGGCTTGCGTTAAGACTTCCTGGTCGTTCCTCTTTTTCTTTCGCTTTTTCCTCGGATTTTCGGCTCTTCGGCCGTCCCCGGACGCTCTTGCTAATCCTGTGAAGGCTCCTCGTGTGGATTCGAATGGTGGCCAATTTCAGGGTATAAGAAGTTCGTGTGCGCAGACTGAAATTAGGCAGTTCTGATTTAACTCATTCTTATGGATTTAAAAAATATTCCGGTCGAGAACCACTGCTTCGAAACGGCAGGGTGTTCTTCCGCGATTCCGCTCGTCGCGTCTCAACGGACGAATCACGCCTAGAACGGTCGATCGTCGATCGTTCCGTTCTCGTTCCGGAGTCGCTTTCGACTTCTCGCGAAGGTAAAGAGAAGGCGCTTTTCGTTCGAGGGAAAGCCTCGGTGAGAAGTTTAAGGGTACGGAACCGACGAATTTAGGGGCCATCGGCGAGGTTCCATGCATTCCGGCACGTGTCTCCGGAGAAACTGGACCGTGAAACGAGCACAACCGGCACGAGCGAAAAATCCCATCTTTCCCCTTCGAAAGCTTCCTTGCACTCGAGAAGCTTCTCTGCACTCGAGAGTTTCTCTGCACCGGCGACGGTGGTGAACTTTCGCGCGAAAAACAAAACGAAAAAAAAACGTTGTCGTTCGCTTTCGTCGGAGCGATTGCGGCGCTCCGTGCAGCATGCAGGGCGATTTCCATGATTGTGCTCGCTTAATAACTCCGATGGGTCCAAGGAATAGTGCTTGATGCCGAGCGACCTCGCAAATGGTTGCATAAGGTGTCCATACCGGATCAAGGCCCAGAACGAAAGCGGAAAGAATGGAAAGAAATGCATGGACGTGCTGCGAGACCAACTAACTGGAGCTTAACAAATCAGTTGTAAAAAAGATGACGTCATCGTCCAGACTTTTGCGCGTTGGGATATCGAGAACTAACGAACGGGGTGCTCCAAAATACGCCTGGAAAATTATCGTTGAGACGAGACGGCCCACCGTTTCCTTTCGTCGTGCATGACGCATTTTGAAATTGGAATGCGGAAACCAAGGAATGTCGCGTTCGCAAACGGGAAGCCTAGATC